AGACTTGGCTATAAGGTATTGCATGTTTACAGAGAAACTAATTCGGTAGCGGATTGATTTGATAGAATGGCATCGACTGGTTGCTCAAAAATTTTTCCCAATTTCTCAAGTCTTCCCCCTATTTCTAAGGGATTGGTACTAATGGATCAGAGGGCCTGTCCTTAATATTAGGACTCGCTAATCATGGAATAGTCAGCTGTGTTTTTTTACTGATTATTTATGCTTGAGTAGACAGTAAAATCTTATTGATATGATGTAAGCTTGTGTAAATTCCAAGGGTTAGTTTTGATGCATTTCCCTTGGCGCCTTTTTACAGCAAGTGGAATGAGGTATGGGTGGAACGATTCTAGGGAACTAGGTGGTATTAATGTCCATCCATTGGGTATACCCCTTGGGTGCATTATATCACCTAGCACTGGTTGTTTCAAAAAAAAGCTCTCTGATATACCCCTTGAGAATTTTTTGAGACATCCGGAACCTGAACATCGTTTACACGTCGTTTATTTAAAAAATAAGAAAAAGAAATTTTGTGCTTATATGTATGTATTTCGAATCTAATTAGGGTTTCCTAAAAGGAAGAGAATTTTATTTGTATGTGAACCATATTTCAAGTAGGAATTAAGATTTTTATTGTGTGTTTGTCGCCTAATAATAAAAAGGAAATTTAGGGTTTTTATTATTATTATTTTGAATTTTTATGGTTTCGGTTAAGCCTTAATTAAAATTTTTTTCGAAAATATCCTTCAAAAGGAAAATTTCCTATTTTTAAAATTTGACCTAAAAAGTTGAATTTCCTGTCTTTTTTAAACTTTGCTTTTGCCAAAAGTTATGTGTCCTATTTTCGAGCTTTATATCTGAAAATAAATAGGATTTTGTGAGAAAATTTCCTAATTTGAGTCATAATAGAAACGTACCTAAAAAGTAGTTTTGATTCCAATTTGGTTCAATGGAAATTCATTGGAGGAAAAGCCAATGTGTGCCTATTCTGTAGAAATAACATTATCTTTATCCAAATTTTTGCTTTGGAATCTTAAAGCCTTCAATATCGCCATGCTTAGCAAGCAAGCTTGGCGTTTGGTCACAGCTTCTCACCCCCTCCCTGCTCGTGTATTGAAAGCTAAATATTATCCCTCTCATAAGTTTCTTGAATCTGAGCTTGGATCGCGCCCTTCATGGACGTGGAGGAGTCTGCTTGAAGAAAGGAAGGTGCTGGAAATTTGTTGCCAGAAGCAAATTAGAGGCGGTGAGCAAACTTGTGTGTGGACTGATAAATGGATCTTGGAACCGTCTTTTGCACCTTAGTGACACCACATTTGCTACCAATTTCTGCAAAAATTTCTGACTTAATAATCCAGGATCAAGATGATTGGAATCGTGAACTTATTCATCAAATCTTTCCTCCCATGGAAGCTTCAGCTATCATGTCTATGGCATTGCCGCGGTTTCCTTCCTTTGATTGTTGGATTTGGCACTATTCGAAAAATGGTCAGCACTCAGCTCGATCAGCTTACTTCCAGCTTTTGTATTCTCCGCAGTTCAATCAACAGGTTAGTGCCTCATCTGTAAAGCCAGTTGGAGTCCATGATCCACTTTGAAGGAAATTATGGAAATTGAAGTTGCCGCATCACATTCTACTCTTTGCATGGCGTCTCTATAATAATTCGTTGCCAACGCCACTCAATCTGATTTCAAGACATTTAACCATTGATGATGCTTGCACTTTTTGTCATCAGAGCTCCTGGAGTAGTTGTCACATCTTCTTCAATTGCCCTTTTGCCATTCAAATGTTGAGATAGCTGGTCTACATCAACACGTTCTTGCTCATGAACATCCACTTTGTGAATTAAGGCTTAGAGCTATAATTCTTGATGAGCATTTTTCCACCACAGCTTTTTCGTTGCTCTCCTTTCAAGTATCTGGCATGCAAGGAATTCCTCTCTTTTTGATCAAAAGAGTATCACTCCATGGACGGTTGTTCTTCAAGCAAGTAGAGTTGTTTATGATTTCTCAACACTGATAGCAAATTGATGAGTGCATTTCATACTATATTTTTAGGCATCAATTTTACCTCATTAGACTTTAATTATAAGTCAATTAGGTTAGGATTATATGTTTATAGGCTAATTTGATAACTTATTGTATTCTAGGGGCTAAAATGCAATATGAGCAGAAGAGGTGGCAAAATGTGGCAAATTGGTGAAGTTTCGTGCCAAATTGGATGAAGCTGCAGGGACTGATTGTGCAAGGGCTGAGATGGGATAAATTCAGCGAGAAGAAGGAAGAAATTGGAGCAATCCTTCGAAGCTAAGGAAGAAGAGCCGTTGGTGAATTGATGCTGCTGACTTTGGAGAAGATTGATGTGCCTTAAAGCTGGAGTTATTCAACTAAATCTCTCCAAATGATGATAGAGGTAAGGGGGAAGTTGGGACAAGTATGGGTCTCCTCTCTTTTGCATAAAACCCATCAGGTAAAGAGGAGACCAACATGGCTAAGCAAGAGCTCTCCCCCAACCTCTATAAAAGGCAGCAGCAACATGAAGATGAAGGCATCGAAGACCAGAAACACTTAGAAGTAGGATTATAAAGGCATTTGAGGAGCTCAAAGGGAAGCTTATTTCTGCCCCTATGATAGTCACACCTGATTGGACTCAGCCATTTGAAATAATGACTAATGCCAGTGACTTTGCAGTGGGAGTTCTTCTAGGTCAGAGGAGGAACAGAGTGTTGCATGTGGTCTACTATGCAAGCAAGACTCTGAATGCAGCCCAGATCAACTACTCAACTACGGAGAAAGAGATGCCAGCTATAGTGTTTGCTTTTGAAGAGTTCAGATCCTACTTGTTGGGAATGAAAGTCATAGTGTACACTGATCATGCATCCATTAAGTATCTGGTCACAAAGAAAGATTCCAAGCCAAGGTTGATTAGGTGGATTTTGCTTCTGCGAGAATTCGACCTGGAGATCAGAGACATGAAGGGCATCCAAAACCACGTAGCAGATCACTTGTTAAGGCTAGAGAATGCACCAAAAGATCCTGAGCCAATTGCCAAAACATTTCCTGATGAGCGACTTTGGCATGTGACAGAATCACTTGCCAGGGTGTTCGAACTGAGGCCATGGTATACTGACTATCCTAACTATGCTGTCTCTAGGATCATACCTGAAGGACTTAGCTGGCAACAGAAGAAGAAGTTCATCCATGATGCAAAGCAATACTATTGGGATGAACCCTTCTTATTTAGAAATTGTGTGGATCAGCTGATCAGATGATGTGTACTAGAATCAGAGGCATCTGCAATTCTGGAGAAGTGTCACAACTCACCTTATGGAGGTCATTATGGAGGCCAAAGAACTGCTGCTAAGGTACTACAATCTGGTTTCTTTTGTCCTACTTTACATAAATATGCTAGAAATTATGTGCTGAGATGTGATAGATGTCAAAGGGCATGAAATATCTCCTAGAGGAATGAAATGCCACAGGAAATGATCCTGGAAGTAGAACTCCTTGATGTGTGGGGCATAGACTTTATGGAACCCTTTGTGTCATCTTATGGTCACACACACATTCTACTTGCAGTTGATTATGTTGCTAAGTGGGTAGAAGCTATTACAGTTCATTCCAGTGATGCTAAAACAATGATCAGGTTCATAAAAAAAACATCTTCTCTCGTTTTGGTACTCCAAGAGCCATAATCAGTGATGAGGGTTTTTTTTTTTTTTCTGCAATAGAGCTTTTACTAAGCTGATGGCTAAGTTTGGCATCAAGCACAAAGTTTCTACACCATATCATCCATAGTCCAATGGACAAGCAGAGGTATCAAACAGAGAGATCAAGAGGATATTGGAAAAAGTAGTCAGCAGTTCAAGAATTGACTGGTCTGCTAAGCTTGATGATACTCTCCGGGCATACAGAACGGCTTTTAAGACTCAAAGTGGCATGTCTCCATTCAAATTGGTGTATGGAAAAGCATGCTATCTTCTTGTTGAGCTAGAACACAAGGCATATTGGGCCTTGAGGGAGTTGAATTTGGATCCAAAACACAGCAGGGAGCATAGGCTTCTGTAGCTGATTGAATTGGAGGAATTCAGGCAGGAAGCTTATGAGTCTTCCAGAATCTACAAGGAGAAGTCAAAGGGATTCCACGACAAGAAGCTGGTCAAGAAGAAGGTGGAGGTGGGACAATTGGTTCTACTCTACAACTCCAGGCTGAAGCTCTTCCATGGTAAGCTGAAATCCAGATGGGGAGGCGCTTACAAGATCAGCAAGATTCTGAACCAAGGGGCAATGGAGCTGATGAACTTTCAGACAGGGAGCACATTTCTGGTGAATGGACAAAGGCTGAAGCCGTATTTGGGAGCACACTCTGAAGGAGAGCTGGACAGTCATGTTCTGTCGCTCCATGATCTTGAATGATACCTTCAGCACAGTCTGGCATAAGACTATAAACAGTTGTGCTACTTGGGAGGCAACCAAGCACTTTTGTTCTAACCCTATCTCTCATAGTATTTTGTATGATTGCAGGTAGTTTCCAACCCAGATGGAGAGCTAGATTCTAGGAGTGATGACCAATATCTTACTAATATCATGGAAAGAAACAGGATCAGCACTCTGAAGAATGGTTTGCCACTTCTAGAAGTCAATTTCTAACTTGCGAATGTCATTTTGATCTTTCAAAATGTGAGTAAGTTTGATTTGACTTTGGGAACTTGTCTTTGCTTTTAAGTTTGGGGGAATAAGCGATTGTGCAACATTTAGTTTTGGCAGCCAAAAAGAATCTTTTGGATGTATGAAAAGACTGGGCATGGGGATTTGTTGCACTTTTACTCAGAAACCGTACCTCCCCACGTCCCGAAGCTCTTTATTACTTCCATCTCTTCATCAATAGCGCCTGAACTCCATCTTCCCCAGCATTCTTCACTTAGCAACTTTCTGTCTTCTCTCCTGAAACACAAAAACCTTCCTTTCTGTTCATCCACAAATCCGATTTTTCTTATTGATCGATGGCACCCCGCGTCAAGCAAACTGCTAGGAAGAGAACTCTGCAGATTGAAGGGTTCGGCTTCCCATGGGTCCAGCCGGTATTGCCGTTGGTACCGATCCCAGATTCAGACGATAATGAAGCCGATACAAAAATCGGAGGCGTTTGAATGAACCAAGGAATTGGAATCTCTTCCTTACGAACAAAGCATGGGAATTCCATAAGGAGAATTAGAAGAGGAAGGCTATTATTGAGCGAAGGCTTCTCAATGAGGGTCATCCCTCAACATACATTCAGGATAAGGGCTGGGAAGGATTGTGCAATCCTGATATGTGCCCTTGACTGTTAACTCTGAAGGAATTCTATGCTAACCATGCTGGGATCAAAAGCGAGCGCCGCTACATCTTCGTTCAAGTGTTCACAGTGGAAATTAGTACAGAGGCTATTAAGGAGGTCTTGGAGTTGCCTGAGGTACACAATGACAGGCAAACTGATGTTGCCAGTCTCCATATGAAGGTGGATATCTGGGACTCTATCGAACGAGTCTCTGCAACTATCATAAGGAGGATAATTGGACCTTGGACAAGCATGGGGATCCCACGTCCTTTGACGCCAAGCATATGAAGGATGAATGTAGAGGCTGGTTCAATTTTATGTGCACAGACATGTCTGCATGTCTCTTTTAAAAGAGCCCCATTGGTCTATGCCATTGTCAAGGATGTGGCAATCGATGTTGCCCCTATCTTCAGGCAACAGATCGAAGAATGTGTCACCAGGAAGACACAAAACTATTGGTTCTTCCCAATCCTGATAACCAGGCTGATGGATCGGGCTGGCGTAGATTTTGGCCCAAGGGACAAGAAGGAAAAATTGCCTCTACCTTGGCACTTGGCACCACCATGTGCACTTCCACCACTTGCTGGAGCCTACTACCCTGAAGCTCAGGGGAGTCACTAGTTCTTTTTCTTCTTTTTCCTTTTCTATCTTTAATTTTGTTCTTTTGTCTGTTTTTGTTTGTGTCTGTCAATTTTCTTTATCTCCTCTTCTAGTTTCTTTTTACTCAGCATTGAGGGCAATGCTGGATTTTAAGTATGGGGGTGGGTGTGAAGAGAATAGAGATTAAGGCACACCCTACGCATTATGACAGCCTCGATTCGAGCCCATAGTGATTTGGAATAGCCTAAAATACCTGGGAAAAAGGGGAAGTTGGCGGATTAACTGAGGTTTCTTCATTTAGCTAATTGAGGGATTATAGGCAGAATGTCTAATATGACATTATAAACCCTTGAGAAGTGAAGCATGGAAACCAAAGAGAGGAGTGTCCTCAGGCTTGGTGAGGTAAAAAATATCAATTCTTAGAATGCCTAATAGTGTTGAAAAATGTGTTTGGTAAGGCCTGAGTGGGAAAGGTCCAGAAGAAAAGCCAATATAGACAGAAGGAAAGGGGTATGAGGGTGAATGATGCATCCAATGTGCTTGCAAAACAGTGAGGAAGCCCTTAGTCAAAATTCCACTTAGAATACCTTAGTTGCAGACTTGATGAAAATAGGTAGAGATCCAGGAATGTCCACTATGCTTAATTGAACTTAACTTAAGAATGGAATTCAACACTTTGTTCTGTGAGTGTCATCCAAGCGCTTGGGGAAGTGAGTCTTTGACTTGCTCAAGTGGTTCTGAACTTCTGTATGCATTAGCCCGATATGAGATCAATTCCTGAGACAAAAATTTGACTGTTTCCTTCGTTGCATTTTCTTGTTTTCAGTCTGTGTGGGGGGTCGAAGTTGTGTTTGCTTGAGGACAAGCAACTCTTCAAGTTTGGGGGAGTTGATGAGTGCATTTCGTACTATATTTTTAGGCATCAATTTTACCTTTTTATACTTTAATATATGTTTTTAGGCATCAATTTTACCTCTTTATACTTTAATTATAGGTCAAATAGGTTAGGATTATATGTTTATAGGCTAATTTGGTGACTTATGGTAATCTAGGGGCTGAAATGCAATATGAGCAGAAAAGGTGGCAAAATGTGGGAAATTGGTGAAGTTTCGGGCCAAATTGGAAGAAGCTGCAGGGACTGATCATGCAAGGGCTGAGATGGGCTGAATCCGGCGGGAAGAAAGAAGAAATTGGAGCAATCCTTCGAAGCTAAGGAAGAAGAGCCATTGGTGAAGTGATGATCCTGACATTGGAGAAGATTGATGTGCCTTAAAGCTGGAGTTATTCAATTAAATCTCTCCAAATTATGATTAGAGGTAAGGGGAAGGTTAGGAGAAGTATGAGTCTTCTCTCTTTTGCATAAAACCCATCGGGGGAAGTGGAGACCAACATGGCTAAGCAAGAGCTCTCCCCCAACCTCTATAAAAGGCAGCAGCAGCATGAAGATGAAGGCATCAAAGACCAGAAATACTTAGACGTAGGATTGTAGTGTAGTTTAGTCAGTTAGGAAGAAACAGAGTATAACTCTAAGAGGTAGACTTAGGGGTGTCACTTGGGGAAGTGAGAAGCTGACTCTGCGAAGTCAGTTGCACTTTACCACACTCCCTAACTTTACTCTTCCCCCTTTTTCTTCTCTTTATGTTGTAATCTGGATGGAGTCTCAGCACCTGAACTTTGTGGTGTTTGAGCTCCAATCCATTAGTAGCTAAACTCATTGCTAGGGTCTAATCCCTCTACTCTATATAATTATGTTTTGATTCATGCTCTCGGATGATATTTGTATGCTTAATTCTAGAGTTTAAATTATCCTTTTAGGTTGAATAGGCCATCCAAACTAATTGTGCTTGCATGTTAGGGGAATCTCGGAAAGGTAAACTTAACTTAGAACGTCTAGGATTAACCGATGACGAGGGGGTAACAGCCCAAGATTTCAAACAACAACAGAAGTTAGTTATTTAGCACGAGGCAATCATAAGGGCCAAAGATCTTAATGGCTTAGTAGTAATTTTGAGTCGACAACGGAAGTTAGTTTACTGGTTACTATTAGGACTATTGTCGGGAACAATTGGAAGTGACCTTACATTGTTTAAGTGTCTGATTGAATACAGTTTCATACCACATAGAGAGCTAAAAGAATCAATACATATGCGTATAGAGTAGAGTGGAGGACGACCCTAAGCTACCATCACTTTGCTAAGTCATAAACTAACTTGCCAATTTGCTGTTTTTACTTCTATTTTGTGTTCTAATATTGGATCCCAATTTTCATTAAGTGTTTCTCATCTCCATGGGATCGATCCTTCTTATCACTTGCTACAAGTTTTAAGTAGGTTTATTTTGGTGGTCTCGACACCCATCACAAATCCCCAAAGAAATGATTCCAGTACGCATTCCTCTCCAATGTTCCTTCCGCCTCCAGCAAATGCAATCAATGGTGCCATTTCACTTACTAGGAAGTGTGATGGTGCTGATATCTTCATCCAAGCTCTAGATGGGCGATTCATGCATGGTCTGTCTAAACAATTCCCAGATGTCGTCGATTTGGACTTGGGGGAATCCCTAGCTCTTCGTGAAGCTTTATTGTTATGTCGTAGAAAGGGATTTTCCAATGTTGCTGTACTTGGTGATTCTTCCCTGATTGTACTTGCTGCCAATCAAGAAGCTGATGGTCCGTCGATTTGCCTATCGGTTTTGGAAGATGTTAACTACATATGTCGTGATTTGCCGGTTAGTCATCTTTCCTGGATACCTAGGCCGGAAAATATCATTGCTCATTCTCTAGCTAAGTTTTCCAAATCGGCTGATTTAATTGAAACTTCATTGAGTATACCTCCACCCTTTGTATCTCATTTGGTGCTGGACCATTTCCAGTAATCATTAATGAATCTTTTTTTTAAAAAAAAAAAGTTTTTGCTTTGGTATAATGGTTTTATTTCCAAAAGTAACCCAATTAAAGTATTAATGAAAAAATGGTCAATTCTACCAAAATTTCAAGGTAGCCACAGGCCACAACCAATCAAAGAATGTCGACATGACCTTCTTATTACTTTCAACATTTTTCATAATGTGTTGGACTATCATGTTGAAAGAGCCACATAGGGTTTGTAATCATAGCTTAGAAAAGCCAGCAAATACATAAATGACTAAAGAAAGCCCAATTAGCTCTAAAAGTTGGTTTTAAAAAAAAATGGATGGTGAAAATATTTAAGTTTTATTTTGACTAACCATGTGAAATAGAATAGATAAGTCAGGCGGTAGGAAAAATGGAATCCTCAAATTTAATTCTAATGTTAGTAGACTTATGACAAATGATCGTCACACTAGCCAAATATAAATTACATAATTAATACAATTACTAGTAGTAAAGTAGCAAACAAGGTCAATCCCACAGAGAAAGATACAAAGTACCAGGTTAAAGTTATTCCTTATTATTATTTAGACAAACTATAATATCGATTTAAACTATCATATACCAAAACTCTCAATTGCAATTATTTTAAAATTTTACATAAGTAAAAGAATACCTTGGGCAAAGGGTTTACCTATCGACTACTCAGTTTAACTCAATCTATAGATACGTGACTTTGGACTTTCATTAATCTCACGACAACTCACCAATTTAAGAATTATACACTCTCGTGTTATAAATCTCTTACTCAAATTAACACTGTGAGTACTCTCGTGACTATAGGGAGTAATAAAAGTACATTAAAAACATTGGAATTACAAGTCGCAAATGTTGTGTTCTTACTGTCGTGGCATACTATTCTAATGAAATAATACTAATATTCCACTCTCTCTATTTCAACTAGTATCTTATGACATGCAAAAACTTGATCAAGTATTTATATGGATGAAAAACAAGAATAGTAAATATTAATTAGTAAAAAAATCATAATCATATAAATTTAATAAATCAAAATAGTACGGCGGTTAAAAAAACCTTAAATTTAAAAGTTTAAATACTGCACATCATTCCAAAAATAAATAAATAAAACAATGAAATCCGGGACTAAGACGAGTCACAAAAGGCCGAGTCCAAGAGTTTGGAGTAGATTCGTGGGTGCTGACTTCTTCCCCTGATAATGGTGTGCGGATGATGATGGTGGAATAAGGTGATGGAGGCGTGGGTTTTTAAAGGCGCGAGGGGGATGATGATGGTGTAGGCGGTGTTGGAGAAGGGTAGAGGTTTTGGTGTGGAGATGGAGTTGTGCGCAAGGGTTTACCCAAAAATAGTATACATTATTACTTCTTACATTATTTCAACAATTATTACTAACTTACATATTTGCAAAGCCATTCATGCGACATATTGGATTACTTTTTTGGTTTTACCGGTCCATCCTAACTCAAAGTTGGAATCAATTTTTTTTTTTAGAGTAGTGATACGTACAGGGAAAAAATAACAAGGAAAATTACAAAGAATGATGTGTCATGCATCTAAACTAGACCCTAATCTTAAATACTTAAATCCCGTATGGAAAGTTTTTAAAATGGATGAATGAGATAATTTCCATGTCATTTTAACTTGTAATTTTTCCTTTTACCAATCATTATTCTTTTTGTTTATATATATATATATATATATATATATATTCAAGGTAGAACGGGGAAACAACTTTATCCATTTGCGATCCATAGTTGGGAAGGAATTTAATTGCCATAGATTATTAACCTTCATTAAATTCTTTCAAAATGCATCGAAAAAATAAATTCCTTAAGAATTAAAAAGACTAAATTTCTTTCAAAATGAAATTGATACACAAAATTAGAACATAATTAAACTTAAACCCTATTCACTTCCTGGATGTGTTGGTCCGGGTCAAGCCGATCCGAAGCAACTGGACATGCGCTCGGACCAAACAAGATATTATGTATTGTGCACGCATTTGCCTAGAATTGAAACCTAGACGCGATTACGATTATATTGAGCTAAAACCGTACAATAAAATAATCTGTCTATACAGTATCATTCGAGTTACGACGATCCTGGTCTCGAATAAGTAACTGCAGCAAAAATTCATTCCAAACGTCAATCGGTCCAGGCAAACACCAGTGCAAACAATCGTGAGCAACCTTTTCATTCGGCCCGCGACAATATACGTCAGGATGACCATCCGGTCTAAGCCGCATTGATGAAGTCACATCTATCAGTCTGAAACTCAACCCTTTTTTGCTTCCTTCTTTTTGAGCAATTTCCACTTCCTCCATCTGTATCCCCCGCAATATCGCCGAGTAAGGATCCAAACTAGTTTCTTTCCGCTTCAAAGGTTCTGTCCGATTACAATGTCCGCCATTATCCCATGGTCCGCCATCGAAATGTATCGGAGACACGCTCCTAACAAAAAACGTCGCACCGGGTTTCGCTAACTCCCTCATGGCTCTCAATGATGTCCTTAACGCCTTTTGGTATGCGCTGTAGAATCCTATGTCCGGGACGTTTTCTTCCTTACAGTTGTTGCAGCCAAAGAGGCGGCGTTTTTCGTAGTACATGGTTGTATGGAAGAACCACGGCCCGGCTGAGATGATCATGTAGTCGTAGTTTTCGATCTTGGCTGTCCAATATTCGTTAAACTCATCTAGGTATATATTTCCGGGGCCCTTTTCAGATTTTTCCGTTTTTGTTAGAAATGCAGACCAATATGCCGAAATGTTGAAGTTGTAATCCTTGAACACCCACTCTTCCCTTTCTTCTGCTTTTACATCTTCCGGGTGGGCAGCAACCTTAACAATCACACCACAGAATTAGAACATTTAGAATTCATGAATGTAAATGTTAAGAAATTAGACTCAATCCAGACTAATGGTAACAATTTTCTATACAACATAAAATTGTCACGTTTATAGTAGCGAAAAAAGAAATGAACTGATTAATTTCTTTGGTCATTACAAACTTAATATGAGTTTTGAAACTTACTGCAAAATTTTTATCTATTGATCATACAAACACGAAACACGACTCTATGCGTTCGAGACAAATATACAATGTACTCCTTCTGTTCCATAATTATTGTCCAGTTTGAGTTTTTATTTTTACTAAAAATAAAATCTGAAACTGGACAATAGTTTTCGGACGTAAGGAGTACTAATTAATCCTTACTTTGGACAGGAGACAACCCAGTGATTGCATGTGATTCCTGGCCAAAGAATCCCCAACAAAGGCCATTGACTTTCCTCTGACCAATTCTAAGAACCGGTCCGGATCGAATTTGGGAAGCTCGCAGCCGTCGGGTTTCCACCTCCATTTTAGGTATCCCGAATCGGGTCTTCCATTTTTCAAGCAATTCTGAAAAGCATACATTTTATGACACGTTTCGTTGGTGTAGTAGGGCTCGTCAGGATCCGGTACCCAATCACCGGTGAACAAATCACAGTTTTCGGATGAATTCGCTTCTTTCCCTTCGTCATGAGCACTGGTGGTACTGTTAAGATACCACAAAGAAGGAGCTGATTCGAATATTTTTCTGGGATCGTTACTATAATCAAATGGAGGGTAAATGATGACTAACAAAGTAACAACGAGAAAAGTGGAAAAGAAAGCAAGTTTTGCTATCGGATTTGATGAAGTATGCTGAATACTTGAATGTTGCTGCTGATGATGTTGTTGATCACCTTCTTCTTCTTCTAATTGGTCTCTCATTGTTTTTTTTCCCCTCTGTTTATGCAAAGACTATTGATCTCTTACAAATTTGGCTAGTTTGAGAAGATCAATTTCCGAGTTTGGTGGATGGGAAATTTGTTTGATTGACAGAGTTTTCAACTGATCTATGTTATTTGCTTAATTTATATACAGTTGCAAATCAAATTGAAAGTTGCAAGTTTGGTGAATTCGGCAACTAGTAATTAAGGCAAAGAATTAATTAACAAGCAGCTAGGTAGCTAGCTAGTTAAAATCTGCAGATTCCCATTTTCCATTTTGAGCCTATGAACTTAAATCAATAAACAATTGTTACCACCTAGCCTGTATTTATTAAAGTTTGGCAAATACTGCATTATATAGTTTAGGCGGCTGTCAGATGAAGGCCTCACGAAAGCTATCCAAGGAAATTGTTATCTAGAGATTGGTTAGCTCTAGGAAAAACCATAATGCAACAATAAGTCCACATTTCCTAAATAAAATAACTACACCACATCGTGAAAGAGACATGAATCATCTACTAGGAGAACCCACAAAGTGATCAGATTTAAGATATACATAAACTAATTTAACTATTCAATCTCTCCTAACATATCACTTCTCTGATCTAATTCTTTGTAAGGTCTTAAGGCCCAAGTCCAACCTTGATACATCCCAATACAATAGAAACTCCCTAAATTATTATTTCATAAATTATTAAACTATATTAAATAATACATTTTTCCGGTTCCAACTCGGGAGCAATACAAAAATCAAACAAAATCGATAAATTATGACACGATGGAGAAGAGAGAATCCTCTTTTGGGTGAAGAAAATATTTTCTATTATATATATTTTAAGTCTGCTTACAAAACAATATATAATGTCACAAATTTACCATAACTGATAGTCCTACAAAGTTACCAAATATTAAATAACTCAGTAATTATAAAACTCACTCTAAAAAATAAATAAGATAATAAATTTTCAAAAAATTCTTATATAAATATAAGTCTCCGAAAAATCATAAATATAATGTTTTTTTTTGCTAACGCCGGGAGCTCCATCAGAGATGGGTAAACTCACGCCCACTGCAATAACCTGCAAACCACACAGTGAGAGGAAAACCTAACTACAAAAAAACTACTAAAATAAGAAATTAAACTAAGAATAAACTAAGAAATTTTAAGAAAGTAGGAGACTATTAAATTTTGTTTTTTTCTTGAAATTTACTCCAAAAAGTTTTATCTTTAATTTTTCCTCCAACCAGTCATCACAAGTAAAAGGATCATAAATATATAGAGAAATAAGTTTGAAGTGGATATTTTCTCATAATAGAATTGAAAAAAAAATCTCTCTAAATTAATAAAATATTGATCAAATAATAATTATTAATATACTAATGAAATAGTAATTTCTATAAATTAATAAATTTTTGTAGGCCAAACATTATTAATTTATGAGTTTTTACTATATGCTAGAACAAGTTAAGCCACAACAAAACAATACTCAAATAGGGAGTTTTTGAGTTAAAAAATGGTTAAAAAAAAGGAGTAGAGATAAATATAGGTCGAATTTTGGGGAAAAGAAAAATACCGATATCGGATTCCTAAAATCCGATTTTTGACCTAAATCGGAATTGGCAAATCCGACCTACGCTAAATACGAAAAATTAATGAAATTAATCAAGATTAAGAGAAAATCGGATTTCTAAAATCCGACCCTAATATATTAAAATAATATATTTTCCGAAAAACACTTAGTTTTTTTTTTGAAATAAAATTTTGACCGAAGTCGGATTTTTAAAATCCGATTTTACATTAAGGCCGGATTTCATAAATCCGGGTAAGCTTAAATCGGATTTTGAGAATCCGTGTAAGCTAAGGTCAGATTCTTAAAATCCGATTTATTCTTAAAACAAGTTGAAGGTCGGATTTCTTAAATCAGACCTTGGACAGACTCTTTGAAAAAAATAAAAGATTGGTTTCTAAAACAATCCCAATCTATCAAAACAGCACCAAAACCAAATTTCACAAATAAAATTACCTATAAACACATTCTAAACACATCAAAACAAACATTAACAAATTCAAATCCCAAATCATCCAAATTACAACATTTATACATGAAAGAGTTATAAATTAAAGAGTCCTACAATTGAATTACTTTGACGACCTTTTCTTCCTTGTAGCCCCATCGCCGGGAGTATACTTCTTGGCCGGTTTACTAACCCTATCACTCTTGCGAACCTCGACCGTTTTCTTTTTCTTTTGGGAAGAAACACGAGGTGGAGAGGACTCTTCTTCTTCTTCTTCTTCTTCTTCGCCCCTAATGTAGTAATCCTCATCGCTTTCATTGCCTTCATCATTTTCATCATCTTCTTGCATCGGAGTTGGATTAGGATGAACTATGATTGTTCGATCTGAAATTCCCGGTCGCTTCCTCCTTCCTCCTCCAGTAGGCTTCGATGTTGTTTTCTGCGTGAGTACCACATTTTGACTTGACTCAGGGGGTCTTTTCTGAAGAACTTGAGTATCGGACTGAGTGCTCATATCACGTGGGCCCAAAGTCAGGGCACTGAAACTCTTGTCGAAGATTTGGAAGAGTTTATCCTCTAGACTACCACCAAGGCTCGGATTTTCCCGTAAGGCTGCATCGAGATGATATATGTCGCCGAGATTGGAAAACCAGAAAATTGAACCATGTGAATAAAGTGTAAGATATAGCAAGAATTAAAATATAAAAAAAAATTTAAGTCAAAATATAATATTAGATCTTACATAAAATCTCTCCAGAGATGAAGACGAGTGATAACCCTGTGCCAGAGGGCCGTATTGAGTGGGATCAGTCATAAATCTGATAGTCTTCTTTTGAAACCACGGCATGTAGTCCGATGTGCATTGAGGACCTAGTTCCGGATCACCCAATTCATGAGGGACCACGTGCTGATCTCTCACATTCCAATGAGGTCGTACCTCAGTGTGTTTTTGCACCCAATCATCATATGCCTTTCCAGTCCCAAGGCATCCGTGGTGTATCGCATTCCAGCGATCAATGTCATTGATTAACGGGTACTCTGGCACAGTTTGGACGCATTGAAATTGACGAAGGACCCGATTGGGCTCGTATGGTTCTCTGATGGCCCAACAAAAGATCCACGTCCTACAGAGGTAGAAATTAACTCCCTCTTTACAGAAATCAGGGAGATCGTCGATGAAGGGAGTGTATGGAGTCCATAGAAACTGTCCAAAAATAAAAAATTGGTAAAAAAAATAATGTAAAACATGAAAAGGAATTTTTGCAACTGGTGGTATGCATTCCATTCAGGCATTAGGCGTATTGCACTGATGATACCCTTGTGCCGATCGGATATAACACACACAGACCGGTCAGATATAACATGATTCCTCAAATGCTTCAAGAAGAATGACCAACTTTCCTCACTCTCTTCATCCACGATCGCATATGCAATTGGCAGGATGCGCTTATTCGCAGTTTTGACCATTGCAGCAAGTAATTTACCTTTGTATCCGCCGCACAAGTGCGTCCCGTCGATACTAATCACCGGAGGACATTTAGCAAAACAATCAATTGCAGGCTTGAATGCCCAAAAAATGTATTTGAACGTCCTCTCTATATCGGTCCAACCCGGTTGCCATTCCCACTCTACAACCGTGCGGGGTTGCTCTTCTCTAGGGCGGCGAAAAATCTAAATTAAAATAAAAAATTAATCCTTATTTTATTCCTAAATTACAAACAAATCAAAAAATTAGATAGGACTTAAGTAAATACCTTGGAAGTATGTCAAAATTGGAAACCCAGTCGCCGTAAACAAGATCGATAGCTTTTCTCCTTCCCTCCCATGCCCTGTGGTAAGGAACATCGACATGCATACGGTCTTTCACTTCTTCCTGAACTAGCTTCACTTCATAATCTGGGTCCAACTCAACCTTATGCCTTATGAGATGCGCAATAAGCGTTGCGCTCACATTCCGATTATTGTTATCCTCGGTGACATTCATACAATTGTGATCGGGCACCCATTTCACAATCTCCCACAAACCGTGGTCTCTCAAGGAGGCACGTACCTTCCAACGGCAAGGAACATAACCCTTAGGGGTTGACTCTTTTAGGGATTTGCACCAAATAGACCATGTTGAACCATCACTTTCCTTCACATAAAACTCTCTCTTTTGCTCTATGTTCCACGCTGCAAACCATTTTTTGCTTCTTCCTTATTCTTGAAACAAGTCCCTATCCCAATTGTTGCGGTTGTCCCATCCCACATGGTAAGTTGAAAATCATCCTTGTCCACTTTTGTATGATCCCACGTACCCTGTGAACGATATATGTGCCTATCCTTTGTGGCGAATTTGTCTTCGACCTCTTCATCACTCTCCCGACTTCCTTCGGATATTGATTGGTTTTCATCGCTTTGATCACTTATCGATGTGTAGTCCTCATCATCTTCACCGTGATCATATTCCATGTGATCGCCATCCTCCATAAATGGTCCACCCACATCATCATCTTCCATGTAATCGACATTCTCCACATTCGGCCTACCACTACTTGTCCCTACTTCCAAATGGGACCTAGAAGTACCCGCCACCTCCAAATCTACATACAAATCAATATATGTCGAATTTGGGAGGAAATACAACACTTGCAACGATGCGTCGTCCTTGATTTTGGCGATACGCCTAAAACCATTGCGCATCGTATCATACAAAATCAATAGACTCAAATTCACATTCTTTCTATTCCACCCCACTCTTTCACAAATCAGTCCAACCAAATCATTGTACAATAACTTATGATCAATCACAAAGGAATCGTCCGGCTTGTTGTTAAAACTATTCACAATCCCATTCTTCACTACAAATTTGCTCGACCAATAGACATTAATGAAATATGGATCGTTAAACGCCATTTATATCTGTTGATTACATGAATTACAACACATCATGAACAAATTATTAAAAAAAATGACACAAACAAGGCATTATCAAACAACTTATTA